CCCTCTCCTCCTGAATCTATAAAAGAAAAAAAACTATAATTAAATCATTCCCTATTATGAATGTTACTCTAAATAACAAACTTTCATACCGCAAAATACCAGACAGTGGACCAATCAATGCACTTTATTTCTGGCAGGATATCCTCTACTTTTCTGGGAATGTCCCTAATGCAGGAGCTTAAGTACCCATGAACCCACAACAAAGTTCTGCAATGGTGAGAAAAATGTCGTGGAAGATTCCTTGAATGGATTCTGTACTCAGTTCTGTTTGTCATTTTCCAATCTAAGCAACCAGCAAGAATGGAAACACTCTACTTTTAAATCAGTGTTGGGGTAAGTATTGCCAAATCCAGATATTAGACAAGGAAGTCATAAATATTGTGGGAAAGTGAGATTGCGTCAACGGGTAGAATCTGGCCTAAATATTAATGAAAAAGATACTGCTCTTTTCAGGGCACATTTTCATTCAGATGGGTTGTAATATTCATACACATATTCATTCAGGCACATATTTGTTCAGGTAGAATCCACTTCTCTCAATATAATTTAAAACAGGTTTTTAATTAAATACAAAGAAAAGCCAATGTTTCCATATGTAAACCTATGAACTTCCAGAAATGAATCTAAAATGTATTTTTAAATAATCATGATAAAGCAATATTTTATTAACCAATTGTCTTCCACTCTGAAAACAGTGGAAACTATATGAAATTATAGCAGACTTTTGTTTTTTGAAAAGACATAACAGTTTTGCAGACAATTCTTTTAACTTATCACAGTTTTGGAGAGCAGTTTAAATTTAGCTTTTAATTTTTAAAGACTGAGGGACTTAAAATGAGATCATCTGAGAAAATTAGATGCTCTTTCAAACCAAAGCAGGCCATGGATCTCTGTGATATCACTAATTTCAAATTTCTTACATAAAGAATCATTAGGAAATCTTAGGCACTGAACAGCAAAATTTGCAGAGTTATGCTGGGCTCTTTGGAAAAGTCTCAACTTTACCTGAAATTGGGTCTAATGAATCATTACTCTTAGATTCTTAATTTCAAGAAAATCTATTTTTAAATTAGGGAAATGTTACAAGAATGTGAAAGACCTTCTCAAAAAACACTTTAATCTGAAGTGTTTAAACAAAGCAGTGATCCTCTCAATAACTTCAAGAATGTGGGAATATTTTTTTATGTTATGTTCTAAGGTTCCAAACTACTACAATGGGATTTATTCTCTCTTTCTCTTTATACTAATGAGGTATATTCTATGTTTCTATTCATATTTTTTTTCTATAACATTAGCTACTCCTAGACAAAGGCAGAGTCATGATTTCAGAGATTTAACATAATGTGGAATTCACGTTTACTTGTTAGCCACATCTGTTATCTAAAAATCTAAAATCTGCACTGGGCATTGATATCCAGATGCTCAGACGATAAACTACGAACAGTCGTTTCCTGCTTCAGACTCAAATGAGAATAAACATATTCATTGCATGTCCTCTAATTTATCACTTTAGTGAAGCACAAATGATAAAAAAATTTAACGTTAGATTGGTTAAAGTGGTTTGGCTACTGTCTCCAATTAAAATTTAGTTCATGAACAAACCTCTTTTACAACATAGCATTCACTGCTTAGGTAGATATTATTCACATAAAAAAATTATCAGCGGGGAAGTATTTGAAATGAGAGGAAAGGAATATAATTCTAAAAGAACTGTCCATCATTCCCTATTGAGACAGTTTAGTAAATATTCATTTCTTCTCATAAAAGATAGAAACATGCAGAGTATCTTTAAACATGCAGGATAGGTTGTTGGCATTCCAACCCAGCAGATATTTGTTAGTCTCAAACAGCTCAGTATATGCTGACTTTAGTTCACAAAGCATCCTTTTACACATGCAGATTATGTTTGTACTTTTACTATGGTCAGCATCAACCCTTTTAAAATGAAAAACACTCAAAAACACTCTGCATATAAGGCATGAAAACGGCATCATTTTCAGTAATTGTTCTCATATTATACAGTGATAGCAGACATAATCAAATGGTGACTATAAGACAGTACAAAGAACACACCAGAATAGGGATTTACCTTTTGCCCTGGACGACCAGATTCTCCGGGCTCTCCCTGGTCAAAGAAAACCAAAGATTAAAAAGGGCAGTCTTACAAGAATTTTCCAAAATCCTTAGGCCCTTGGACACTTTCAGCCTCCCCGATGACACATGCATTTCATTCACTTTATTCTGTTGTTCTACATCCTACCAGACATACGAACATTTTTTTTTTTTTTTTGCTGTAAATATACCTAAAGCTCACATACAAATCCACATTTCCATAAAAACCAATCAGAAAGGGAAGAAAAGGCAAGACCTCTTGCTTAAGCCTTTATCAGAGATTTCTAGCAGATACTCCGTGTTGTGTCTAGAAGCTGATTATTGCAGTAGTATAGGAACAGAGTTAGAACCATCAAAGTTGGTAAAAGGGAAGGGAAACAAGAGACTTATAAAAGTCAAAGCTGTAACTCCTGGGGTACAAACACTTGCAAGGCTATAGTTACCTTAATTCCTGCAGCGGACGATCCAGCGTCACCCTAAAATGAAACCCGTGAGAGATTATTCTACAAGTGATGGGAATAGGAAACACACAAACACATAGAGAGCTGTTATCTACAGGAGCACCTAAGGAAACCCCATGACTAATGGGCCAAACTATGCTCCCTAAGATTTTGTATCAATATGGCTAAGATGTCAGTAATTTCCAAGATAAACAATATACTTTCTAAAAACATGGGTTTACTTTGCAAAATACATAAGGACTACATTCCTTGAAATAAATATAAATATATAAATATGGATCTCTTCCCTTGATACAGTGCTAAAATTGTAATCTAAAGCAATATATTAGTGGATCTGGAATTTCAGTTTTCTTTATTTCAGGAATTTATTAATGTCACTGGCTATCATTTACTAGGAGTTCCCTCACCCTTTCGGTCTTCAGAAAGTCAGGGTTCAACAGATGAAGTCAAAAGGTTAATGATGTTGAGTTGGAAAAAGCCATGCCGCCGGTCAGTTTGCTTTCCTCATGAAGCACCGTCACCGTTATGACCAGCACGTTTTTTTCTAGCTCTACACTTATTTCATTGTAACGCAGTCACCGGAAAGTTACAGGATGATGGATGACTTGTGGGTGACAGGGACACAAGGAAGATCTGAGAGAAAGTCTTGAGATAGAATCTGGTTTTCTGAAAGGCATTGTATTCCATCCGGATTTCACCGAGTGTGACTACATTCTTAAGGCAAATGTGCTCTAAATACACAGGTAGGGGCTAACAGGAGAGAGGACGGAGGGTGACTGCTTATTTCTGACACGAGGTCAGACAAGGGCCTAGATTTTCCAGTTCCTTCTAGTCCTCTGTTCCATAAACATGCTACAAGGAAAATAAAAGGGAGAAAACGTAGTCATTTGAGAAAACAGAAACAGCCACAAGGAGGACGGCACATCCTGGGGTTTCCTCAGCTGTCCTATCTGTGCAAGGGCTCACAGAGCTCTAGGGGGTCTACTTTCTCGTTCTAGGTTTAGAGAGCTGCTCATCAATCTCATTTAGAGACGGAGATAAACCTCAGGCCTCTACACATGAGGTACCTGCCCCTCTCCCTCAGTTTCTCTCTCTTCTCCCCACAGCTGGCAGTTCTCTTTGTTCAGGTCTTAAGTGGCTTTGCCTCAACCCCTCACTGAACAACCTAGACACATGCCCCTCACATCCACATCTCACTCTGCAGCATCTGTTCAAGTCCTGCAAGCTCACTGCATATGGATTATGTATATATGTTTTCTGCCTATTCTTTGCTTGTCCCTCCATTAGATGATCAGCCACATGTGGGCAGGTTCAGTGTCTATTTTTATTCAGTGTCTGAATAAAATATGTTGGATACATATATGGTGAATAAATGAACAAATCTCAGAAAGAATATTTTCAGCAGGTCAGCAGTAAAGAATAAAAAAAAAAAAAAACCTTTAGGAAGAAAAAAATGCTTAAGAAGGAGGAGAAAATAATAAATTAACTTATTTGAGGAAACATACGAGTTTCTTTGACATCTGTAATTGCTACTACTCTAGGAAAAATTAAAACATGACAAAACATATAGAACAGGATACCAAATACTGTCTTATTGTAAAATGATACTGGTTTCTTTTCCCCGTCACTAATAATCAATTGAGTTCCGAATGGGCAGTGAAATAAATGTGGCTAACAAAATAATACTTATTTCTGTTTCCACTAAATCAAGTCTGTCTGAAAGCCATCAACACCAATGAATCAGTATTTTGCACAATGAGACCTTTGTATTCATAAAAGCAATTTTGACTTTTCTAAGCCCCCTTTTTCATCTTATTTATACCTCACAAGACTCCCAAGAGATAGGGCAGATATTACTATTTTTACTCAATAGATGAGGAAATTGAAGCAACTTGAGCCTAAGTGAATTTTGGACTTCCTGAATTCTATTGCCATGTTCTTTTTATTGGAATAAGAAAAGAATTATTGGTTTATCTCATTTTGGCAACAGGGCACAATGGTTGTAGTAAACTTATAAATAAAAGGAAGTTGCTTGTATTAACTGTAGTTTAAACACTTTTTTTTTCCAGTGTTTTAATGGAAAGTGACTGGATAATCCACTAACGAGAATAAGGACTAGATTTAGTTCTCAGAGAGAGTGGATGGGAAGGAAAGGACAGTTTCCTGGAAGCCTGATTTATTTGTGGAAACTGGAGCAGTTTCACTTGATGGACATCTATGGCTGATATATCAACTTTCTTTTCAAAAATTAGAACTGTGAAATCTCAAGGAATTTTTATAACTTTTAAGTGGCAAGGCAATTGCTGGAAGACATTCCTAAGTTAAACATTTTAAAGGATAATGCTGCAAGTAGTGAAAATAAAAGTCAGTGTTTATAATCCTCATTCCTCTAAAAGTGAAAATGAATACAGGATTAAAGTAGGAAAAAAACCCCAACTGTGTCTCTCTAAGTATACCCTTAGCTTCACAAATCAGTTGGTTTGAAAATAAAAGTTTCCACAGGGTAAATCATAAAGCAAAAAATACTTTGAGAAGATACTTGAGGTAAAATGAATTTGACTTTGCTATTGACCATTCAAGTACAGAGTTTTTGTTTTTGGCTGTGATTATTTTCAAGCACAACATCTGATATGTAATTATATGTATGTGTTACTAAAGTCTATGTGGATAAAGTGAATGTGGTGATATTTCTGTCAGTCATTAATTCATTCAATAAATATTTATTGAGCATCGATTACGTGCCAACCATGTTCTGGAGGCAGGGATACTAGGAGCTAGGGCGATAAAGTGAACAATGCTGTTTCAAACCCTGCCCTTGTCATGTGCTTACGATATAGTCACCCTTCCATATCCCTGGGTTCTGCATCTGCAGATTCACCCAACCTTGGACTAAAAATCTTTTGAGAAAAAAAATCCTGAAAATTCCAAAGAGCAAAACTTAAATTTCTGTGTGCCTGGCAACTGTTTACATAGTATTCGGTATCATAAGTAATCTAGAGAAGCTTTATAGTAAAGCTGACCCTTAAACAACACAGGCTTGAACTGCAAAGGTCCACTTATATGTGGATTTTTTTTCAACAGTAAGTATTACAGTACCACATGATCTGCAGTTGGTTGAATTCGGCGGATGGGGAACCACGATATGGAGAAAACGGGGATGTGAAGGAACCATGTATAAGGAGGGCCTTTTGTAAATTATACCCTGATTTCAACTGGCAGAGTCTCAGCACTCCTAAGGGTCAATTGAATATGGGAGCATGCACATAGGTTATATGCAAATACTAGCCCATTTTATATCAGGGACATGCTAGGATTTTGGTACTTGCAGGGATCCTGGAACCAATCTCCTGGAGATACCGAAGGACTACTGTAATCATTTGTATATATGTATATAGTATATATGTACACAAATATATGTATTCAAAAACATTATTGATTGAATGCATAAAAGATACTTTCTTTTTCTTTCTTTCCACGTACAAAGAAGTCTGGGATAGGAAGAAATTGTCATGTTGGGAAATTTTGTGTCACCCACGGAAGACATGATAAACAAATGCATGGTATAGGAAAAAGTTCTACCATTCAACGAAAATAAGAAGCAGGTGAAAGTAAAAAAAAAAAAAAATTTTTTTTAAGGTTTTTCATTCAATAAATATTTGTTATCTTCCTATTACATGCCAGGAAATTGGATTGGTGTTGGGAATAGAACAGTTTGGTAACTTACAGTTTTTTGTTTGTTTATTTGTTTGTTTTTTCTTTTCCAGTGAGCTGGATGCCCAATTAAACAAGGAATTACAATAAATTGTGATAAGGGTTATGAAAGGGATCATAGAGAGTGCTCTGGGAGCACATAGAGGGTAACAGAGACAGTCCATGGGAGACTGAAAGGCTGCCCCAGGGAAATGACTTAATAAATTCAGGTCTCAGTAGACAGGAATAGGATGAGAACGTGAGGAGGTGGAGGTGGACAGAGAAGAGTATTCTAAGCTAAGGGAAGCATCATATGTGCTAAATTGGAGAAGGCCCTATGCCCAAAAGAAAAGCCTTCCCATGTGATCTTAAGAAAAGGCAATTTGGTGGGTGGCTCCAAATATGGGTGTTGCTTCTGAAAAGGCTCTGAGGATGCAAATCAAAGATGCTCTGCAGGTGTAAAGTAAGAAGGCAGGTTATTTATAGAAATGGAGATTGGGGGAGAAAAGAAAAATGAAGACACTGACAGGCAATACCAAGAAAGTGAAGCTTCCTGCTATATTTAAAACGGATAACCAACGAGGACCTACTATAGAGCACAGGGAACTCTGTTCAATGTTATGTGGCAGCCTGGATGGGAGGGGAGTCTGGGGGAGAATGGATACATGTATAAGTATGGCTGAGTCACTTTGCTGTGCACCTGAAACTATCACAACATTGTTAATTGGTTATACTGCAATATAAAATTTAAAAGTTTAAAAAAAATGCTCAGAAAAAAAACAAGGAAGAATGTGAAATTTCTAAATGAACAGATAAGGTTGTGAATAATAGAGTGGCATGATGGAACCATTCAGTGGTCTGCACCAACACTTACTTTCAAGTGCTGGGATAATAGATAAGAAATGCATTTCTACATTAGTTGGTGGGATTAACACTCCAAAGAGCAGAACATAACCTTCCCGTAGTAACTCCACACATGATTAAAATCAGTCTTTGGCAGGTCATTCTTAATTCTAGAGTTCATCGTAGCTTCTGGCCACAGAGAAAACCCAGCCCAGAGGTTTTTACAGTCCCACAGCATTTCCAGATGACCAGTCTGGAAAGGCTTAGATTGCTTTACCATCCAAAAGCACCTAGTTGGATCACAAGGAAAAAAATCCTATTAAAGTGAATCGCCAATGACGTAATTTACTACATCAATGGCAGAAAAGAAGCATTTTTTGATTTTACATCTCCAACTTGGTAAATGATGAATGAGTTTCACATACTGAACCCAAAGGCCATGAGAAGAGTGTTTCTAACATGCTGGAAACAAATTATGTGACAGAAGTAGGAAATGTTTAAAAAACACATCAAAAATTATATTCCAATTACAGCATTCTTGGGGATGAATGCTACAGGTCAGATTACCTATTATATGTTACAGATTCCTATTTACAATCCCCTGTTTAGACTCACTGAAAATTTATAGAAATGATTTCTGTTTTAACTGAAGCATTTCTCCAACTTAATTTCAGTTGACTAATAAAACTTTTTGATAAAAAAGAAAAATAACCAATCTAGTGGATTTCCATTTCCATGTGGTAAGAAAGCTGACATTTATTGAGAGTTTACTATGTGTGAGTCAGCATGGTAAATGATTTGCATTAATATAAAAAATAAGAAACGTATTCCTTTGAGATGAATTTAGCTTTTACAAAGAAAAAAAAGTTGCTTTACTATTGCAATATTAAATTTTAAAAATGTGTGATTAAAGAAACTATTGGCCTACATTCAAAAAATTAAGCTCTAAAAATACATATTCTAAAGATTAAAATTCTCTACATAAATCCACATGGGCGTAGCTCAGACTTGGCATAAATGGTTTTCACTTGGAGAAACTGCTCTCTGTTTAGAAGATTTCCTTTCTTTAAACAGAGGTTGGCAACTATAGCCCAAGGGCCAAATCCAGCTAGCCACCTGTTTTTGTGTGGCCCAAGAGCTAAGAGTGGTTTTCACATTTTTAACGGTTAACAAAATTATAAAAAGAATAATATTTCATGACATTTGAAAACCACATGAAATTAAAATTTCAGTGTCCAGAAATAAAGTTTTATTGGAATAGAGCCACTCTCATATGTATACATATTGTCTACGGCTGCTGTCATGCTACGATGACAGAGTTGAGTAGTTGTGACAGACGCCATATGGCCCACAAAACCTAAAATATTTATTTTCTGGCCCTTTACAGGAAAAGTTTGCTGACCCCTGCTTTTAAGCAAACACAACAAAGGTAAATAAAATATCTATGTTTATATACCTAGGGTTTTTAATTTTGACTTCAAGAAGTCATAGAGGTATATCACTGGTCCCATTAGTATTAAACATACTCATGTCATGGTGGATTGCAGCATGATACTTAAATCTGACAGTTAAATAAAATGGGTTTACAGCAGTGGTTCTCAATGAGGGATGATTTTGTTCCCCAGTGGACAATTGGCAACCTCTGGAGAGAGTGTTGGTTGTCACAACTCGGAGATTCTACTGGCATCCGCTGGGCAGAGGCCAGGAACGAGGCTAGACATCTGACAGCTCCCTCAAGAAGGATTATCCAGCCCAAAATGTCAGCAGTGCAGAGGCTGAGAAACCCTGGACTACAAGAAACTGAGAGTCCACTCTAATTTCTAGACTACCTCTTGAATACAAACACAGTTGCTACTCGGTGACATTCATTTATTCCTACCATTAATTTCTCCCTACCACCCATGCCATATTTATATTAATATTTATAAGAATGAGGAAGACAAATTTCTCTTTACTTTATGGGTACGTTTTTATGACTAACAATTGTCCATCTGTACCGTAATAATTTTCAAAGTAGAGTATTCTTATTCTCAACTACAAGCCTAAATGAATCATTCTTTGTTTCATCAATTAGCCTGATTTAAATTAAATCTGACTATTCCATTTTTAGTTTCTTAAAAGATCTTTTTCTTAATTCTTAACATATAGCACAAATGAAATAAAAATTTCCTTCCTATGTCAGAGATGTGTGTGAAGTAAGAATCCAAGCAAAAACTTCGATAGACTGAGGAAATAAAGACAGGAGGTAGGAAGATGAACAAAAGACCACCGCAATATAAGTGCTAATAATGGTTTAAAGGCCAAAAAAGAAAAAAAAAAAAAAAAAGACAATACAAAGGCTGACAAAATATCTGGATCTAGTAGATTTCAAGTTGAGACAAATTTTCAAGACTGCATGAGAGGCTCTAATCAACCGACTTCAGCTTATTATCAAACTCTTACATCCCCTCCCAATCCTCTGCAATCTTCCTCTATCCTAAAATTGGGACAAATGGAATCACTTTAGGAACTCTATTTTTATATCTCTGTGTATAAAGGGAGTGTTCCATTTACACATAAATAGTGGTGTTTTTTTTTTTTTGTCTTGAAAGTCATATTACTAGAAACCCAATTACGCATTTTCTAGAATTTTTGACATAGCATTTTACTTTTAAAATATTTAAATTTGTAGCTAGGAGCTGATGGAATAATCACCTTTTATACATTAAATATTTAAAAGATTTCTAATTGTGTAGAATTATCTCTGATCTCCCATTTTCATGTACATGAAATAATATTCTTGCTTATACACATACTCTTTCACATTTCGCAACACTGTACCTTTTCACCTGTATCACCTTTGGGGCCATTCTCTCCAGCATCTCCCTAGGAGGGGAAAAAAGCAATACATGTAAAATATATTGGTGACATTCAGCAAAGAGTACTTTTCATTATTTTAAGTTTCCTTTCATAGGCACTATATATTAAAATCTGTTGTAAAAGTTCTACAGAGCTAATGTACTTTACTTGACCAGCTGCCTGATATCAACTAGTCCAAATAAATTTTACTGCAATGAACATGGCTAAATAGTTTTAAACTACTCCACGATAATAACAGAAAGTAATTTCTCTGACTTCTAATAGCTTATTCTGGCACTAATAGCTTATTCTGGCCACCTTAACTCTTTCTCTTTTCTCTGCTCAAAGAGTCACTCTAACAAAGGCTTTCTCCTGACTCCCTCAATATGCCGTGTGCCTTACCCTTTCTGTCTCCTTCTTTGTCCCACTCCTGCCACCTGGAGTCCTGCCTTCTCCTTTCCCTTCAATCTGTGAATTCTACGCATCTCAAATCTCCAGGCCCTCAAAGTGCATGACCCAGCCCTCAAAACTGCTGCACTGAACATTGAGTTATCTGGGCCTAAGTGTTTTGCATTTGAGAAATAAATGTTTTATATCTTATTATAAAATTAAAAAAAATTATAGTAAAATAAATTGGGGAGTTTATGCTTCCTTTGTTATTTTTGAGAGCTCCTATGCCTAGTCCCTCACTGATATCTTTCTACCCACAAGCAGTGCTTTAGGAAAAAAGTCATTTGTTTATTATCCATGCTTTGCTTTCTTAAATTCTAAATTCTTTAAGTCTTATAGAATGCTCTAGTGGAAACATCATGAATTTTGGAGCCAGAGAGTTCGAGCCCAGGTCCAGGCCCTACTGGGCAAATGAAATTCTCTTTACATCAAATTTCTCATGTGCAATGTAAGGGCAAGAATATTTTATGGGGTTATAAGAAATAAACAATTACTGTGTCTAAAGCAACTGGGACAGTATCTGACACATCATAAGCTGTTAATGATAATCATTGGCAATAACAATGCATTATTGTTCACACATTCCGTAAGCTGGAATACCCTTCTGTCCAGCTGCGTAAGAGGTCACTCTTCTATCATTTAAAATTTTCCGTAAAATAAGAGAGAAGCTACTGATAATGGTTTCCCTGGGAGAAGGAGGGGTGGCGAACGAGAGAGAGTTTAATCTTTTCTCTTCACTTTCTTTTCTTGTTTCAAATAAGCATGAGGCTATCCTGCTTGGGCATTCTTTTATGGTGACGGGGACAGCACAGCAGCCTGGGAGCCTGAGCAGCTTTATCTGATGAGTCCCTGGAATGGTGCTGGCACTGCTCCTTTTCCCTCCTTAATTTCTACACAAAAGGGTCATCTGATGACTAATTCATTTCAGGTTAATTACCATGAACTGGTTGGAAGCCAAATAAATATACTGATCATAAGTTATGGGGGATCTTTGATAGGCAGCTCATTAGCACACTTTCTAAAATTGCTTGGAAATCCCTTTATTAAATAACAAAACAAACAAAACAAACTTTCTTATTAGGAAAACTGGTTCAGAGTGGCCGTGAAGTGAAGGGTTTGACTGAGTTGCCTCTCTGCTCTGCTCTCCTGCCATTTAAATAAATGTCTTTTTATTTATGTTTTACAAGAATACAGTTGTAAACTACAGCTCAAAAATACAGTTACGTTCATGAAGCTTGCTGGATCTGTAGATGTCCTTCTTTGGGGATTAGCGGTGATGATACTGAATTGTCAGAAAGATCCTATCACTTATGAAGGGCATCATGTGGTATCTTGGTAGTTGCCTGAAGAGATGGCATACTTCTCAAACACTGGTAAAGGACATAGCATGAGAACTCCCCCAAAGCAGTAAGGAAGGATGTTTGTCTAAGAGAAATTTAACATATGCACTCTGCTGCTCCTTTGGCTTCTCTTTTTGGGTTTTATGGGAATTCTTTTTGGGACAACTTTCCGTGTACTTGCTGCAGATAAACATCTGTATCCCTTTAACCTACTGACCTAAGAATTAGTAGAGAGAGAGACGGATGCTTTAAGAAAGTACTGGAGTAGCATTAGCAAATAGGTAGAACAGAAATTTTGCAGGCCTAGGGATTTTTGAAAGTCATTTAAAAGCCTGACATAGAATGTTTAAACTTGCACCCTTGTCCTCCATTTCTTTAAATCTTTTTTACCCAAACTTCTATACATATATAAGAATTACACTATTTTCTCCTTCCACTAATTAGCAGTTTGGAAAAACAGTGGTCGTTATATCTATCTACATCTACATAACTAAGCATACCTTGTTTTATTGTGCTTTGCTTTATTGTGCTTCAAAGATACTACTGCATTCTCTACAGATTGAAGATTTGTCGCAACCACGTGTCAAGCGAGTCTAAGGGTGCCATTTTTCTAACAGCATCATTTTTCGATTAAGGCAGGCATGTTGTGTTTTAGACATAATGCTATTGAACACTTAACTGACTACAGTATAGTGTAAACGTAACTTTTATATGCGCTGGGAAACCAAAAAATTCGTGTGATTCATTTTATTGCAATGTTCACTTTATTGCAGTGATCTGGAACAGAGCCTGCAATATCTCCAAGGTATGCTTGTATACCTGTATCTGTCTATCCAACCACACATAAATACAGTTCAGTTTGGTACCTCTTTGGGGGGAAAAAAAAAAAAATCAGCAGAATCATTCTCACCTTTTCTCCTCGTTCTCCAGGTTGTCCCTGGGCAAAAGAACAAAGATTGAGTGACGTATTAAATTATAAAACACCTAATCAATGAACACTAAACAAAATCAGATATTGAACATACTATTAATAGATAAATTATACGTGACTTTTTCTATTTTGGCAATATATAGTTGCTATATAAAAACAAAAGGTTAAGACGAGTTTCCTGGAGCACTGAGTATGGATATCAATAGCAAATATAATTTTAATTCTTTGCTTTCGAGGACTAAAGAAAGATATTTAAGATGATCAGCCAAAACCCGGCTTTTAGGGCACTAAGGAGAAAAACGTCGTGGCAATTCAACGTCTCAAGAGGCTTCTGAGATTATGACGCTTTATTCTGCTCAAACTCAGACTCAGTAAGGTGAGTTTATTTACTTACATCCTTCAATGAAATCTTCCATTCAAAGCAGCCCCTGGTGCACGGATTATTTCAGGGGTCAGAGTACCAGTGTAGTTCTCTAATCTGTCTTCCCCTGATGTGACTAAGGCCTGAACTTGGACCCCTTCACAATGTCATGAACTCTCTTCAATCTGTTGTTAACCACTATGTTCCAAATTAGGTGCACTTTAGGAGGCATTAGTTTTTTCAGAAAAGATACTATATTGGGGCAGACTCTAAGTGAGTTTAGGAGAGATGTCTTTACTCAAAATGATGACCATGACAGTACACGGACTAAAATGCAAAATTGTGTTCTGAAAAGAATTTCATTTTCACTTTACCCAGGAGGGGACAGGGGACAGAGTCAGAGAGTAAATCTAAAGCAAATCACACACATTATGATAATATTCCTCTTAAGAAAAGCTTGAGAAAGTGTTGCAATAAGATCAGACTACTTTAAAAATTATTTTTAAGGTGGTTGTTGTGTTTTTAAAAATTATAATTCACTCAAGAAGTCTGTTTGAAGGCAACACTCTTTTCACTCCCTGAAACTCCGCCTGACCCTTTGGCTTTTTGAATTTCTGGTTACCTTTCACTGCTCAGCAGCCATCCTGATGGTTGCTAGGCAACAGAAGAATAGTACTGAGAACATGCATTAAGCATTAACTCCTATCACTTGGCTTTTTAGCATGGAGCAAGAGAGGGAAGAAGACAGGAAAATGGCTGTAGTCTCAGAAGGAATATTTTCTTTCCTCTCCTGCAGGACAAAAGACAGGTCTATAAATTTTAGGTCTGTCCTAGGCGCCTGTCAATAGCAATGTGATCTGTAAAATCAGCTGACAAGCATCTGTGGGTATGGATACACACCAGCACAGCTGATGGGATTAGACATTAGTTTTGTACTTCAAGGGATGGTCACTCATCAAAGGACTTGGGATTTGTCTGCCTATTTGGTTTAAACTAAACTGTCACCAATCTTTTTATATTTAAGATTAATTTGTTCTTCAAAAACAAAGGAAATTTGGAACCCCAAAAAAACCTCTATTACATTTTTTCCCTACTTAGTAATTCAGACTACATCCATTTTTAAATTTCAACCATGCCACATTTTTATTATGCTCTTCATTTGATTAACTGGTTAGGCTGTGTAAGTCTTGGAGGTGGCCAAATCCTGAGGAAAAGTCACAGTGGCACTGTGAACATCTTTAGTACATCTTGTAAAAATTATGCAAATGTTGGCAGTATGGACATGGCCTATGTTGTAATATGTTCATTAAGTGGTAAAATGACAAAGTCACATTTGAAACACAGGCTTTCTCATGTTATTTAAGTATCCCAGAAATAAAAATTTAGACATATCCTACACTGTTTCTCTGCATTTTTAATGCTAATCACAAACATCACTTATTCTTTAGGTTACAAAGTTTTATACTATAGTGTATTATATTATTGACAAAAAATTCCATCCAAGTAAAACCAGTGGGATATAAAGAAAGTGTAACAGCTTACAATCTCATGAAAACTCATGCCTCAAGTGATTCTGCTTGGTTTTCTTTGTACTAACCTTTGGTCCTGGTATTCCATTCTGTCCTACTGCTCCAGGCAACCCGGGTTCACCCTCAAAATAAAAAATAGATACTACTAAATAAAACAGACAAAATCAACACATTATATAGCTCATTAGAGGATATAACCATCCAATGATGCTCAAGAAGTACATAGTATGTTAGACTAGTTACACAAGTTAGCTTGTTTGGTCCAAAATTCTATGTGCTAGGGACCGAGGATACAAGAGGGCTAATTTCCTTGTGTTGAGTCTTTTCTCCACTGAGAAAGTGAAAGCAAATTACCAATGGAAATGAATATCTAGCATGATGCTAGGTACATATAGCTAGGTATATGCTAGGTACAATATTTGTTGAATGAGTAAAAGACATCTGAAAATTTAAGACTTTCTTGGTGGAGAACTTTCAAGTGATTCATCAGCTCAGGAAAATAGAGACTAAATCATTCTATTTATTAGACTTAAGCAAATGAGCGCCTCCAAACCTAAATCTTGAAGAATATACACACCTTTGAACATCTACTTAACTCATTTAGACACATTTGACACAAAAGTAAAAATGGCTTTGATTTCTCTTTCCAGTTTCACCGTAAATATAATTAAACATTAGGAGTTGTGGTTTTCATTGTCATATTGAGTGATAGGCATTTGAGAAAAAGATGATGGCTATTAGCTAGAAGGATTTTCCATTTCAGAAAGATGATGATGTATATCAATCTTTCTAGACTCTGAACCAGCAATTGTTTTCCAAAGCGGAAGTCCCTTGCGCTCAGAAGCAAAGGAAAGATATTCTGCATGACGACTGTAGTTAACAATTCTGTATGGTATATTTGAAAGTTGTTAAGAGAGTAGATCTTAAAATTTCTTATCACAAGGAAAAAAAAATTGTAACTATATGAGATGATGGATGTTAACCAAACTTATTGTGGTAATCATTTCACAGTATATACATGTATCAAACCATTATGTTGTACACCTAAAACTAATTCAATGTCATGTGTCCAATGTATCTCAGTAAAATTGGGAGAAGAAAGAAAGTGTAGCTTTTAATACTTCCGTGTAGCTCAAACTTAGAGCAACTAGAATTTCATTTTCATTTAAAAACATTCCCAAAGCCATTTATTATGTGCTTCAAATTCTCGGCAAGTTTCTTTCCCCTGAGGGTTAAAAAGTTGCTACTTAGGGGCTTCCCTGGTGGCGCAGTAGTTGAGGGTCCGCCTGCCGATGCGGGGGGTGCAGGTTCATGCCCCGGTCCGGGAGGATCCCGAGTGCCGGCGAGCGGCTGGGCCAGTGGGCCGTGGCCGCTGGGCCTACGCGTCTGGAGCCTGTGCTCCGCGGCGGGAGGGGCCACGGCAGTGAGAGGCCCGCGCACCGGAAAAAAAAAAAAAAAAAAAGTTGCTACTTAGTTGATTAAAAAAAATTGACTTTATTTTTTAGAGCAGTTTCAGGCTAACGGCAAACCTAGTTGATTTTTTAAGAATGTTTTCTAGGTTGTCTGGAGGGCAGAAATTGTGCCATTTTAGTATTTGTGCTCTCACCTTCAAGAACACTTACATTAGTAAAACAGCAACATTTCTTAAGTTCCAGTAGCTTTATATTCATTAACTCACTTAATTCTCACAAATTTCTATAAGGTAAGTACTATCTTTATCTATATTTAATAGATGAAGAAACTAAGGCACAGAGAGGTAAAGTAATTTTTCCAGATTTACACAACTCTGCCTTAAGAGGTTGTGCTTTTAGTACAATGATGCATTGCTGAATGAATGAATGCATCTAGAAACTGGGAGAGTTGATGAAGAATATTTCTATCCTTATTATCATTTGGTTTATACTCCCCATTTATAAATGACCTTCCAGAATGTATACAGACCTGAATTAAATGTAACTTCTATAAAGATGATTTTTGTTCACCTACCAGATAAACTAAGCAATGTGAAGTTAATAGTGCCTTTCTAGAAGAGCAAAAAATGTTTTTCTCTTATACTGGATTATTGTAATTGCTAAAGTCTTAACTCATGGAAGAAATTCTGCTTCCTATATAAAGTTACACTATAATCATTTGCTCTTTCCTCGATAAAATAGCAAAAATGTTGACTTACAATAACGATGGCTATTATAAGAAAATTTTGATAAGCCATTTGTACATAACCAAGGGTAAGAACTCCAATGGAAATTGAATACACCCTGAAAGAGGACTGTCATTTACTATGCAACCAGAAAAAGAGTTATCGAGTCTGCTTTCTTCAAAAAACTTACACCAGGAGGCACTAATATCGTACGTAACTCATGGTTTAATGCAGACGAGATGCTGCCAGGGAACAATACAAACTTTGTTTAGACTTTCAAAGAATAGCTATGGTAGCCAGAATTATTTATTTTTTTTAAATGGTTAAGCCCCTGGAACCAGACAAAATACATGCTGAGATTTTGAAGCAAGGAAGACAAATGTTGCTTAGGTATCTGCACAACATCCTTCTTAAAATATGAACATCGAGGGACTAAAACTTGATCCTTTTTTTCCCTTTGATTTTATATTTTGTTAAAATAATCTTTTAATGTAAAAGGAAACAAAAAATTGCACCCATAATCCCATCACTCTATCATAACTGTTTTCATTTTGTCCTGTTTCCTTCTAGTCGTTTAAATTTATGCTTACATATTTCAAGCAAATGTAAGCTTATTACATAGTTGGACGTTCCGATTTTTATTATTTTATACCACACGTTTGTTTTTACACGGTATTTGTGATTGTCTTGTGAATAGTTTATCATCTATCAAAGTCAGGTGTGATCATTTGTTCAAGCTGTCCCAAACTGTTGAATACTTAGGTTGTTTCCAATTTTTGCTATTAAAGGTAAATTAAAATAAACATCTATGTAAATATTTCTAAGTTGCTTTCCAAAAGGGATCTGAGATTTATCTGCTTTTCTAGGTACCCACTCTGTTACTTTTTCACAACTTCATCAGCATTGGATATCACAATTTTAATTACTTTTGTGGCAATTTTATTTTTTTAAGTTGATTAATTTATTTATTTTTGGCTGCATTGGGTCTTCGTTGCTGCGCGCAGGCTTTCTCTACTTGCGGTGAGCGGGGGCTACTCTTTGTTGCGGTGCGCGGGCTTCTCATTGCGGTGGCTTTGCTTGTGGAGCATGGGCTCTAGGCGCACAGGCTCATTAGTTGTGGTACATGGGCTTAGCTGTAGCTGCTCCACAGCATGTGGGATCTTCCGGGACCAGGGCTCAAACCCATGTTCCCTGCATTGGCAGGCGGATTCTCAACCACTGTGCCACCAGGGAAGTCCCTGTGGCCATTTTAATAAGCACAAATGAGAATTTACTGAGGCCATTTTACGTTTATCACTTGTAAGGTTAAATAGGTATGTAGCGCGATTTTAAAGCTGAAAAGTGGGGCTTCCCTTATGGTGCAGTGGTCGAGAGTCCACCTGTCGATGCAGGGGATGCGGGTTCGTACCCCGCTCCGGGAAGATCCCACATGCCGCGGCGCGGCTGGGCCCATGAGTCATGGCCGCTGAGCTTGCGCGTCCGGAGCCTGTGCTCCGCAGTGGGAGGGGCCACAACAGTGAGAGGCCCGCGTACCGCCCCCGCCCCCGCCACCCCCCGCCCCCCGCCAAAAAAAAGCTAAAAAGTGAAAAAGGCTGTTTCCTGAATGAATCAAGGGAAGATAAAAAGGAAAAATGGTTTGTAGCATTTTACCTTTGTAAAAAGTTATAACAAGAAAAATATATTCAAAATATATTCAAACTCAGATTAGGAGGTTATGGAACATTCTGTTATTATTCAAATTTAGTTTCCCAGGTTGTGTTAAAGGAATGTTACAGATGAAATGCTGTACAACTTTGAGTACCAAGGCCAAGCAGTGGGATTCTGGAAGGCATTAATTCATTCAACTAACATTTAGTGAAAATTTACTATATGTTTTACTCTGAGCAGAGTGCTGCGTGAGATATAAAGAAGAAATAGACATGACAGGTACCTGTGCCCAGAGAGCTTGTCTTTGAGTGAGAAAAGAGATATCTACATAAATAACTTAAGAGGACATCTAATTGAGATGGAACTCTTCTCTGAGCAAAGTTTTCTTGCACTTCATAAAGAGGCATAATAAATAGAAACCAAAGGGAAGTCTTAATGAAGAATGAAGCATATGTCATATTAATATTTTCTGGTATATGAGGACTAAATATCATGAGGCCTCTTCAAATAAAGTTACAATATTACTTTACTACGTAATATAGTTTAAAAGTACATATACAGAGAAATATATCAGAGAAGTATAGACCAAAAAAATGGGAATTGGGTTTTGTGGGGGGGGGAACTAATCTCATGTTTATTGGATAATCCATTCATCTATTTGAATGCATCTCATATTCACAACTACTAAGGACATTCCAAAGATAGTAATGAAGCAAAATAGCAGCTAACATCTTAACTACAGGTAGATTGATAGAGTTTTCTCTATTACACTTTAAATTCTAGGGCTATTCCTAGCGTATTTAAGCTAAAAATAAGTTGAACTGACTTTTAAGAAGGATAATGCTGCTTGCTTGCTTGCTTGCTTTTTTTTTTTTAAACCAAACACTCTTTAGAACTCTAATGTAAAACATCACCCAAGGCTTTTACAGTTATTTTAGTTACTGCTATTCAGGGGCCACTTGAAAGAATACTTAACAATAGAAAGGAATGTCATTTTCCTACAAAATTGAGTGTTAAAGAGAAACAGACCATTTAGCAGTAATATTGCTCCCTGTCACTTCAATCACAAAGGGTTACAGCTTTAAATTTTTAGCATAGTATAATTTTACATTCACCTTGTCAATATAGGTTTGTTTCCTTTAAGTACTCCATTTTCAGGAAGAACTCATCTAAATAGAAGAACTACAATTGTCCCCCCTTATCCTCTGTTTTGCTTTCCTTGGTTTCAGTTACCCGTGGTAAACCAAGGTCTGAAAATATCAAATGGAAAATTACAGAAACAAACAATTCATAAGTTCTAAACTGTGTGCTGTTTTAAGTAGCGTGATGAAATCTGGT